ATAGCTACCAGCAACAAGCCACAACGAGTATGACCTTCCGTCGGCCGTAGATCCATTATGAGCAAGCCCAAAATTTTCCACAGCCTAAAGAATTACTTCCGAAACGCTAGTAAAAAGGGTACGCGATTCAGCCCCCTCGTGGGAATAGGTCCTAGGCAACAAGCATGCAAGCACACAAGCTACCCAAAACTTCTTTGAAACCCGGGGCACTATACTCAGTTCCTCCAAGTTTACTCGGTTCATCCAAGCCTCCGTCCAATTTCGATTTGCAAGCAATTCAAAACCTTTCCGCAGCGAGGAATTCCCAAGAGGTAATGGAAGCCCAACCCGTCCTTTCTACTGTTTCTAGTTCATGCACGAAAGAATTTCGCCGCAGCTCCCCGAGAGGAGCCGCTTTGATTTTCCCGAGAATGATTTCCAATTCGCATCAAGGTTCGAGCTACAGCCTTTCAACTGCAGCCTAACCGAGATGCCAACAAATTCGTTTTACTGAAATTGTTTTGCCAGGCTAGCAATGCGAAACTCACCCGAGAAATTACACCAGCAAGCTAGCGCAACTCCCGGGCAGTTTACAATGCCAACCTTCCTTGTGCTGATGAATATAGCCGCAACAGTACCGAGATACCGCGCAAGAAACACCAGAGCAGCACGAATTCATCATGAATTAAACAGTCACACCGAAGCGTAAAAGTACATCACAAATCGTTCCCTTTTCTACCTGGATTACCGAAACCCAGGCATATTTTTATTCCTTAACCCGTCCAGCGCCGGCGGCAGAGCCACAAGCACCTACTAGGACTAAGAAATTATAGACGCAAAAAAAAAAATTTTTTTACGCCTATCAGGATCGTCTTTTCATTTAGTTGACCAACTTGAATTTTCACTTTGGTCTCCATAAAGGTAGGCACAAAGCTACACGTTCCCAAATGGTAGAAACACTACAAAACACGCTACAGGCACAAAGTACGAGGTAAAACAGTGATGGAAAAATTCACCAAGAATTCTCGCCCGCAGATTAGACTTGGCTTCAGTATGGGCGGGCACTTGGTGAAATTCGATACTCCTCGACGGAAAATTTTTTTTTCACTCGATTCTTGTATTGACGAGGGGAAGTCAACTGACTAGTTCCTGGACTCTGAAACCTTATCGTTCATCAGATATCGAAGGTTTGTCGAGCGGTTGGCCCTAAATGGCCCAAAACGGAAATGCTCGTATCTCGGCAACCAGAAAGCTTTGAGCGCGCCACGACTGCACAGGCTGCATAACTTTTTAAGGCGCATCTTTTCATGTTTCAAGCCTTCGCGGAGTCACTTTCTGGATGGTCGACTAGTTACGTCGTATTATCGAGTCGCCACTTTGTTGGCCGATGTCTAGTTCGCCAAACCAAGTTGCTCGTGGATGCGAGATCGTCATGCATCTAGATGTAAAATTTCACGGGGAATCCAAAAATGCTATCAGAAGTTGGAAAATATTAACTTTTGGAGGAGTTATGGGCAAAATACCGTTTTCGGACCTTTCAGAACCTATATATGTCATTTTGGGCCTGAAGGAGTCCGATTTGAGCGATCGGGTGTCAAGACCAAAAAGATGCGCCGTGAAAAGTACTTCCTAGAGCAAGAACGACCCTGCACGAGAGCGCCCTAACCTTCATTTGGCTAAGCTTTGAAACTTTGCAGAAATACATGACGTCAAAATGGCGTCGTAGCGTCAAAATTAGCCCGATTCACGCGATCGGATGTCGAGACCAAAAAGATGCGCCGTGAAAAGTACTTTCTAGATGCAGAGCGGGCCGAGAGCCGGGGTATACAATATCTCGAGCAAAAAGCGGAAAACCGAAAACAGCGTTTTTCATCGGGGACCACCTTCATGTTGCTGGTAATGAGCTGCGTCGATATATGTAACGACCTTGCGAAGATTCGGGGCGGAACACGCTTTTATTCGTCGATTAGTGATTTTTTGATGTCCGGGACCGATAAATCGCGTCGCATTTGGCCTGTAGGCGGCAATTTCGTATTGTGACGACGCACACATGCTTGTACTAGTGCCATACGCGATAATCAAGCGCGACCCGGCGTCAATCCGATCTCTACAAGTGCAGTTTCAACCAATCGAGCATGCTGAGCTGCATACGGGATTGACTCAACGAAACGGGTCTGTGAGTCTTCCGAATCGGCGCCCATGCAGCCGAGCTAGGATATGCTTTGTAATGATGTTAAACAGGTGCTCCGAAAGTGGCGTCACGTGGGACGACCTGGTAGTGAAGATATGGAGGTTTGTCGAGCTCGCCGAGGCCTGTGCCGCCATCCTGAGACAGGCTGGTACGACATTTGCGGGTATTCCGAGTCGGCGCGCGCGCTATGAAGCTAGGATATGTTTTGTATTGATGTTATACGTGTTGTCTCCAAGTGGCGTCGCGCGGGAAGGCCTAGAAGCGGAGATATTGGCATGCGTCGAGCTCGCGGCGACGATTGCCGCCGGCCAGTCGATCCCCGAACAAGCCTGTGTGTGACACCATGTGGTAAAAAATTTCGTAATCAAGGATGTGTAAATGGATGTGCAAAAAGAATCAGCACGTGGACTTCCCCAGTGGTCACCCACCTGAGTACTACCCACGCTTGAGCCTGGTTAACTTTGCAGAGCGGACGGGATGCAGTCTAGTCAGGCTAATATGGCCGATTCTGGAACGGCCGCCTTTTCCATCGTATTTGGCAGTTCACTTTTTTACAGGCATAAGGGCCGTTCGAAAAGTGAACTGCCAAATTATCGTTTGCAGAGTGCGACTAAACTATATTTCTGTGCTAGACTAGGCATAAGACGACTAGATATGCTATCTGCAGTCCATTTCGAGCACTTTGATCCGTGCACAGATCGATTCCCGATCCGTGTTTTGCTGTTTTCTCACTAAATACGACACTATGGACTATGTAACTCACTTTTATAACCATTCTAGACAATTTGCTATCTTGTCACCAAAAAAAAATTTCCGGCCAACTTGACGAATTTGGCTCAAAACTGCTACTGGCAGGCACTACTGCAGCCCTGTGCATAGATTTGGGTACAAGAATGCATTTTTCAAAGTGCGCGCTGCTATCGAGATCCATTTACGATAGCAAAACTGGCCAAATCGGGCATTTCGACCACTACTGCACTGCTACTGCTTCAGTAACAAGCCAGTAGTGACATTTTAGACGAGATTTCATTTTCACGTCCAGGTACAAGCCAGTAGTACGATCTTGGTGAATTTGGTTCAATTCCAATTCGACGCCTAGTAGCAAGGCAGTAGTATGATCTTGGTGAATTTGGTTCAATTCCAATTCGACGCCTAGTAGCAAGGCAGTAGTACGATCTTGGTGAATTCCAAACCAATTCCAATTCGACGCCTAGTAGCAAGGCAGTAGTATGATCTTGGTGAATTTGGTTCAATTCCAATTCGACGCCTAGTAGCAAGCCAGTAATACGATCTTGGTGAATTCCAAACCAATTCATAGCTAACGTCCGGGTACAAGCCAGTAATACGATCTTGGTGAATTCCAAACCAATTCATAGCTAACGTCCGGGTA